CTCGGGCTTGGAATCCTTTTCGATGCGAATGCGCGAAGCGGCCTCGTCGATCAGGTCGATGGCCTTGTCGGGCAGGTTGCGGTCGGTGATGTAGCGATGGCTGAGCTTGGCCGCGGCCACGATCGCGCCGTCGGTGATGTCGACGCCGTGATGCAGCTCGTAGCGCGCCTTGAGCCCGCGCAGGATCGCGATGCTGTCCTCGACGCTGGGTTCGCCGACGAGCACCTTCTGGAAACGGCGTTCGAGCGCCGCATCCTTCTCGATGTACTTGCGATATTCGTCGAGCGTGGTGGCGCCGATGCAATGCAGCTCACCGCGCGCGAGCGCCGGCTTGAGCATGTTGCCCGCGTCCATCGCGCCATCGGCCTTGCCGGCACCGACCAGCGTGTGGATCTCGTCGATGAACAGGATCACGCCGCCTTCGGCCTTCGACAGATCGCCGAGCACGTTCTTGAGGCGCTCCTCGAACTCGCCGCGGAACTTGGCGCCCGCGATCAGGCTGCCGAGGTCGAGCGAGAGCAGGCGCTTGTTCTTGAGCGACTCGGGCACTTCGCCGTTGACGATGCGCTGCGCAAGGCCTTCGACGATCGCGGTCTTGCCCACGCCGGGCTCGCCGATCAGCGCCGGATTGTTCTTGGTGCGGCGCGAGAGCACTTGAATGAGCCGGCGGATTTCCTCATCGCGGCCGATCACCGGATCGAGCTTGCCCGAGCGCGCGCGCTCGGTCAGATCGATTGTGTACTTCTCGAGCGACTGGCGGTTTTCCTCGGCGTTCTGCGAATCGACCTTGGCACCGTTGCGCAGCTTGTCGATGGCGGCCGACAGCGTTTCCTTGCGCGCGCCGGATTCCTTCAGCGCGCGGCCGAGCGCGCCCTTGTCGTCGAGCGCGGCGAGCAGGAACAGCTCACTCGAGATGAACTGATCCTTCTTCTCCTGCGCGAGCTTGTCGGTCAGGTTGAGCAGGCGGTTGAGCTCCTGGCTCACGTTGACGTCGCCGGTGGCCTGGCCCAGGCGCGGCAGCGCCTCGACGGCCTGGTTGAGCCGGCTGCGCAGGCCGTTCAGATCGACGCCCGCGTTCTGCAGCAGCGGCGTCACCGCGCTGCGTTCGAGATTGAGCAGGGCGAGCGCCAGATGCACGGGCTCGATGGCCGCGCTGTCGCGGCCGACGGCCAGGCTCTGCGCATCGGCGAGCGCCTGCTGGAACTGCGTGGTCAGTTTGTCCATGCGCATTGCACGGTCCTCGTAGTGGCTGGATGCCCTCTATCTGCAGTGTCCAGAGCAGCTATCAAGGGAAGTGGGCGGGAGCATGCCG